AGCCAGAATGTGCTTACAATGTAAAACGTTGAAAAACTACAGCGATACTAAAATTTGAATAATTTTAATATTAAAATTATTAAATTTTTCAACCATTCAACCATTAAAGACAATTCAACGATGATAAATATGAAAAAGGAAAAGAAATATCTTCCAATTTATTCACTACAGAATATATTAATATTTTAAAAATGTTTGCAATGTTTTATTAGTTATAATCTCCACTGAAGTAATATCTCTAGATGCTAATAGAATTGCATCAGTTCAAAGAAGTTTGTTTAGTCAAATACATTTTATAAGTTAATGTTTTTTTTTTAAAAAAAAAAAGATAATCAAACAGCAAGCATTAAATATTAAATAAATTTTTAATATGAATAGCAACAGCGTCTTTCACTACTTACTTGTTAGTGATTTTTGAGTTTTTGAGATTAATGTTTTTTTTTTTTTTTTTTTTGTGAATGTTGTTTGAATAAGTTATTTTTTTTTGTAAATGAAACAAAATCATAATCTAAAATTTTTATATCTATTTTTTATTTTAATATATCTCAAGATATTTTTTAAAAGATAAAAATTTTTAAAGTTTAAAAGTGTTTTATAATTAAATGAAAGTAAAAATTTGTTTCAACAAAATATACCTCGTGTTACTTCACCTATGCGAATTTCATCAATTTAAGCAAAGATTTTCTAGAATTAATAGTTTGTGCAAATCGAAAAATCACTGTAAATTCTAATCAGACCATTTAATATTAAAAATAGTAAATAAGAATATTACCGCGAAATAACAATAATCCAACCAAGTTGACCAGAAGACCAAAGGAACCGACGTAAAGAATGAGAACAGGTTCAGATATTAGCTCGGGATCGGCAAACCTTTTTAGCGCTTCCACAAAAATAGAGAAGCACAAAGCAAGAAGGAATACTGCATTGACTAAAGCACCCAATATTTCGGCCCGAGCCCATCCAAACGTATTTTTTGTCCATCTTCTTGGAGCCATCTGTAAAGTGAATATCATTTTAAAAATAAAGTAATTTATATGAAGACAATTTTATTAATTTTTAAAAACTTCGAGATAAACATAAAGGCATCTAAAACTTTAGTGATTTAGAAACATCCTCCTCATACTCCAGAGATAATGAACTAGTCACAGTACTTCATTACTTATTGAGCCATTCTTTTAAATTGTCCAAGAAGTGTACAGTACACTTATGGCAAATGATAATATCATTGCATTCTTATTATTTTCATAATTAATAAAATCAATAAGATGATTACAGATTATGGATTTCAGGCAAATATTAAATTGCCTGGAATCCATAATCTTTAAGGAGGAGAGACTATCACTGCACAATGTGCTATCACTACACAAAATATGATACAAAGATATTTTAATATCATTTTGAATGTCTGCGACCAACATTTTTGTTATCCTGCCAAATTCAAATCCAACATTCGGTATATCATCCGAGTTCTTCCGATCTTACACTATGAAATTTGTAAGGCAATGTGGAGCAAGAGACGCGGAGTTTAGATTCTGCATTAATACACTCAAATTATCAGTATTTTTGAACTCTAATTATACAAAATGATACTATACACGTTTAACTTTTATGGGTGTTTTAGTTTTCTAATTAATATAAAGACACACAAAAATAGTATTTATCTTTCTTATGCATACTCTTTCCTCAATAGTGGAGCAAAGTGTGCATAAGAAAGATAAACAGTGAGTACGCATGTAATTGTGCCAATATAGCTTACATTTTTATATTAACAAAGATCACAATAAATTTTCCTGATTCTTCATGGCCAGTAGATTCTACATGCGCACCATTCTTTACACTTTATCCATTCTTCTGATAGATGTTCTTCGTATCGTTTACGTTATCGATATGACTTTGTTAACACAATTTCTGCCTTTTTCAGAGATTATTTTTGGTAATTTGCTGGAAATTGTGCTCATTCTAGTTTCATCCATGTTAAATATTTTTGTGGGACCAAATTTTATGTTATCGTATAGTTCTTGCAGCATATTGTAAAATTTTGCAACTTGAGGGCGATTGAAATCCATTGCTCGAGCAACATTTGTAGCTTCAGATTGGCGAAGAAATAAAGATAGTCCACTAAATTTATCTGCATTTTTAAGGAAATAATAAGCGCGCTCTCTTTTAGCTCATGATTGAATGGATGCTTCGGTTTATTCTTTTTCTGTCAGCTGGTAAGCTGTGACAGAATGTCCATTGTGTCATAAAACATTTTGTCCATTGTGTGCCACTACAATGTATTTGCAACAAAAACGGGGGCTGAATGAAAAAGTAATTAAAATTATATATAAGGCCTGTATTGAAACAATCATTTTATACGGTGCACCATTTTGGGCAGAGGCTGTAGACAATGCACGAACTAGAAAGAAACTTAATAAAGCATAAAGGCTCTCTCTTCTAAGGATGAGTAGGGGCGTATAGGACTGCGCCGACTGCAGCCTTACAGGGCCTCACAGGTGTTCTTCCCCTTCACATTAGGGCAAAAGAAGAAATGTGGAAATGGCACATACTCAACTGTAGAACTATTGATAATAAGGACAGCGATTTATACAAATACACGAGATTGGTCTTCTTCCAAACATGAGTGAACATCTTTTATTTCAGTTTATGTCCATTCTAAATGTGAAAATGGAGATCCCCGAATCTCATCCTAGCAAAGCTGGAGACATTTCTATTTTAAATCTATACGACAATCCCAATCCACACATACAGATCTTCGCTGACGGTTCGAAGAGTCATAATAAGGTGGGATCAGCTTTTGTTGTTAAAGATCATAGTAGGAGTAACTTTTCTTATCAGGCAAGTTTTCGGCTTGCTGGAATATGCACTATCACTCAAGCAGAGCAGTTCGCCATAAATCAAGCCCTTACTTACATTAATAAGTCCAAGATTAAGAATCGTCGTATAAGGATTTGTTCGGATAGCCAAGTTGCCACCAGAAAATTGATAAACAACAGGGGCCTTCTTTCTCATCACATTCGGGAAGAGATAAATAAATCTCATAACAGTTTAGACTTCACCTGGGTCAGGGATCATTCCGGTGTCGAGGGAAACATGTTGGCAGACTCCCTCACAAAGCAATCCGCGGCCTCCTTTGCCACCCCCCGTTATTGGGTTGTCTCCGACAGTGTCATGAAAGTAAAAATTTGTTTCAACAAAATATACCTCGTGTTACTTCACCTATGCGAATTTCATCAATTTAAGCAAAGATTTTCTAGAATTAATAGTTTGTGCAAATCGAAAAATCACTGTAAATTCTAATCAGACCATTTAATATTAAAAATAGTAAATAAGAATATTACCGCGAAATAACAATAATCCAACCAAGTTGACCAGAAGACCAAAGGAACCGACGTAAAGAATGAGAACAGGTTCAGATATTAGCTCGGGATCGGCAAACCTTTTTAGCGCTTCCACAAAAATAGAGAAGCACAAAGCAAGAAGGAATACTGCATTGACTAAAGCACCCAATATTTCGGCCCGAGCCCATCCAAACGTATTTTTTGTCCATCTTCTTGGAGCCATCTGTAAAGTGAATATCATTTTAAAAATAAAGTAATTTATATGAAGACAATTTTATTAATTTTTAAAAACTTCGAGATAAACATAAAGGCATCTAAAACTTTAGTGATTTAGAAACATCCTCCTCATACTCCAGAGATAATGAACTAGTCACAGTACTTCATTACTTATTGAGCCATTCTTTTAAATTGTCCAAGAAGTGTACAGTACACTTATGGCAAATGATGATATCATTGCATTCTTATTATTTTCATAATTAATAAAATCAATAAGATGATTACAGATTATGGATTTCAGGCAAATATTAAATTGCCTGGAATCCATAATCTTTAAGGAGGAGAGACTATCACTGCACAATGTGCTATCACTACACAAAATATGATACAAAGATATTTTAATATCATTTTGAATGTCTGCGACCAACATTTTTGTTATCCTGCCAAATTCAAATCCAACATTCGGTATATCATCCGAGTTCTTCCGATCTTACACTATGAAATTTGTAAGGCAATGTGGAGCAAGAGACGCGGAGTTTAGATTCTGCATTAATACACTCAAATTATCAGTATTTTTGAACTCTAATTATACAAAATGATACTATACACGTTTAACTTTTATGGGTGTTTTAGTTTTCTAATTAATATAAAGACACACAAAAATAGTATTTATCTTTCTTATGCATACTCTTTCCTCAATAGTGGAGCAAAGTGTGCATAAGAAAGATAAACAGTGAGTACGCATGTTAACAAAGATCACAATAAATTTTCCTGATTCTTCATGGCCAGTAGATTCTACATGCGCACCATTCTTTACACTTTATCCATTCTTCTGATAGATGTTCTTCGTATCGTTTACGTTATCGATATGACTTTGTTAACACAATTTCTGCCTTTTTCAGAGATTATTTTTGGTAATTTGCTGGAAATTGTGCTCATTCTAGTTTCATCCATGTTAAATATTTTTGTGGGACCAAATTTTATGTTATCGTATAGTTCTTGCAGCATATTGTAAAATTTTGCAACTTGAGGGCGATTGAAATCCATTGCTCGAGCAACATTTGTAGCTTCAGATTGGCGAAGAAATAAAGATAGTCCACTAAATTTATCTGCATTTTTAAGGAAATAATAAGCGCGCTCTCTTTTAGCTCATGATTGAATGGATGCTTCGGTTTATTCTTTTTCTGTCAGCTGGTAAGCTGTGACAGAATGTCCATTGTGCCATAAAACATTTTGTCCATTGTGTGCCACTACAATGTATTTGCAACAAAAACGGGGGCTGAATGAAAAAGTAATTAAAATTATATATAAGGCCTGTATTGAAACAATCATTTTATACGGTGCACCATTTTGGGCAGAGGCTGTAGACAATGCACGAACTAGAAAGAAACTTAATAAAGCATAAAGGCTCTCTCTTCTAAGGATGAGTAGGGGCGTATAGGACTGCGCCGACTGCAGCCTTACAGGGCCTCACAGGTGTTCTTCCCCTTCACATTAGGGCAAAAGAAGAAATGTGGAAATGGCACATACTCAACTGTAGAACTATTGATAATAAGGACAGCGATTTATACAAATACACGAGATTGGTCTTCTTCCAAACATGAGTGAACATCTTTTATTTCAGTTTATGTCCATTCTAAATGTGAAAATGGAGATCCCCGAATCTCATCCTAGCAAAGCTGGAGACATTTCTATTTTAAATCTATACAACAATCCCAATCCACACATACAGATCTTCGCTGACGGTTCGAAGAGTCATAATAAGGTGGGATCAGCTTTTGTTGTTAAAGATCACAGTAGGAGTAACTTTTCTTATCAGGCAAGTTTTCGGCTTGCTGGAATATGCACTATCACTCAAGCAGAGCAGTTCGCCATAAATCAAGCCCTTACTTACATTAATAAGTCCAAGATTAAGAATCGTCGTATAAGGATTTGTTCGGATAGCCAAGTTGCCACCAGAAAATTGATAAACAACAGGGGCCTTCTTTCTCATCACATTCGGGAAGAGATAAATAAATCTCATAACAGTTTAGACTTCACCTGGGTCAGGGATCATTCCGGTGTCGAGGGAAACATGTTGGCAGACTCCCTCACAAAGCAATCCGCGGCCTCCTTTGCCACCCCCCGTTATTGGGTTGTCTCCGACAGTGTCACTAAAACAGTTATTCATTTGTGGAATTTAATAGTGACATAACACTCGTAAAAATAAAGGTTTTCGTGGATTGTTATTATTCAACGCAGTGTTAAGTGGTTGGAAGTCGTTTATCTTAGTTATTCACAATACAGCGATTCAACTATGGCAACGCGAGTGGGAAGATGGGGACACTGGAAGAATGACTTATCAATACTTCCCAGATATTTCTTCTAGACTACATAACAAGACATTCCACACCAATTTCTACATTACTCAACTACTGACGGATCACGGAAATTTTCAACAATACTTACACAGATTTGGACATCGGGAAAATCCCTTTTGTGGCTGTGATGACAACACAATACAGAATGCCACTCACCTGATTTTCCACTGCCCGAAATATAACAATCTCCGTATTAATCTGGAAGGTACAACATTAAAGAAAAGCTTTCAACTGGCCCTGCGCTTTAAGAACCCTGGTGAAAGATAAGGACATTTTTACAGCTCTCGGAAAATTAATTATGGACACTGGTGCTCTAGAGCCCTCCTTTCTTAACTAGCTTGGCCATTATTCAACACTGTATTGAATGTAACACTTATTTAACTTTGTTTCCAAATACATTACTGTAACGGGTTTTTAAAACTGCTCTTAATTTAATTGAATTTTGCATTATCCTCACGCGATTAATTTTGTTACTAGCGTTGTTATTATAATTATATTCACTTGAATGCTATTTATTAACTTATTCTGATTGTATATGTATTATTGTAAACATCTCATGGGACTGTCAATATCAGTAAATTACCCGGCACGTTTAATTTCATTAATGTTTTAGGTAACTTAATCTCTGTATTACAACAATTTATTGATTGTAACACTTATTTTATGTAATTGTATTGTATTTATGATCTTACATGTATATAATGTAAGTTTCTAATATGAATCCTGCAAGTGAGCACAGAAGCATGTACTACAACATAATCGGAATTAGTTGCAATTATATTAATGGTTCTGTTCATAACATATCTATCTCAGTATAATACCTGGTTCACAATACTTGGTTAATTAAAACTGTTCTTAATTTAATACTCGTATTATCCTCACGCGATTAATTCTGTTACTAGCGTCTTTATTATAATCATATTGAATGTTATTTAATATCTTATTTTGATTGTATATTGTATATGTATTATTGTAAATAATAAATACGATGCAGAAGCTCACGAGTCTCCCCTTTTCACCACCTATCCTATCTTTCTTTCATTTCATCTTCTCCCTCCTTCCTTCTTGACCCCTCTCCCCCTTTTTTTCCCTTATTTCACACCCAGGCAATACCTATGAGTAGCCTGGGTCTTCATCACCTTTATGCTACAAATGTCCATTGTGTGCAGTATTGAGAGTTGCTCTTGGTTAAAAATTTGCTTAAATTTCCAAAGAGATGTTGGAATGTAGTTAGAATCCTGTAATTAATTACAAATAAGCAAATGAGCCAAATATAAATAAATTTCCATATTTCTTTGTAAGTCATATTTCCATTTATTTAAATTGAATTTGCTGATCTTAAATAAATGAGATAGTTAGGTTCAATTAACGAAGCTAGTTAAACCAATTCTTCTTTATTAATATTACTAAACAGTAATTTGTGAGGCAAAAATACGAATCCCAACACTTGCCCCACAGGGTACTTTTTTATGTTTTACTGGATAAGTAAATGGCATCGTGTTTGCAGCGGAAAACGAGTGGTATTAGTAACAATCGAAAGAACGACATGCTTAAACAATTGTTTTATTTAAATACATATTTAATTCAGAATCCAGAATTCTAAACATAGGAAAATACTGGAATGATCGATTAGGACATAGAAAAAACACTTCAAATAACGAACAAACCTTAATCTCGGCGATAGTAAAATCGCGCTCAGCAGATGTCCACCTTCGGCTTAATCAAGTGATACGTTTAATGTTGCTTAATAACATGTAAAACAAGACAAAAAATTCAGTTCACACTCTTGCTCTATATTCCCTTAATTGTGAGAAGTGTTGGAAGTCTTTAACCTGTCAACGTCTGTATTCTTATTATGTAAAGATTATGAATTGAGATTACATAACAGGCATATTCGAAAATTATCGTCAACTTAATTTAATTTCTGAGATATTTTATTTAAATAAAATTGTTCTCTTAATTTGTTCTTAATTAACATGTTATTTTAAAATGTGTTGTCTGTATATTTCAACAGGAAAACATTGATTTTATTGTGAAAAGGTCAAAAAGCTGTAATATTTTTCTAATTAACCCCTTAAGCCATAAATTTTAACGTCATATTTCGTAAATATACTAATTTTGTAAAATTAATTTTTAATTATAAATTGAAATATACTTGCCTTCACAGAGATGAAAGCTACTATCAAGGCAATAAGATCTGAAAGCATATGAAATGAATCGGCCACTAAAGCCATAGAATTTGTTGCATAGCCTACCACCAGTTCTACGACGAAATAACTTCCAGTGAGAAAAGTCATACTTATCAGCCTGCATTGTTTACCCGTGTAACGGCCCATTTTCTAGCCGTTTTACCTGAAAAAGCATAAAAAATGTCTTTATAATAGTTAAATATTCGATTATTTTTATCATGAGATATTTTATCATAACTATTATTTATTATTTAATATTAAATGAATAATATTTTATTTGATATATAATATTCATTACGTATTTTATGTCGATCGTTCAAATTTTTGCGATAGGTTTAATTACAGCAAAACTTAATTCTATGCAACGTTAATTTGTTTCTTTACTTTTGACATGTTACAATACGTATACATACACGCTACGGCTAATTTTTATCTGATAATTGCACAATTTATCCATAGCAATTTGAAGCTTAATAACTCCTGTGCTTTTTGTTTAAAATTTCTGAAATTTTGCAGGGAGATTTGTATATTGTAGGGGGGTTGATGGGATTAAATTTTGGTGATTAGAGGTCGAGGGGAGGGGAGATAAAGGGATCGTGTTTATCTCCAGTAGAGTCAGACTTAATGATGATTTTACTTGTTATTAGCATTTAAAATTTTTTTATTAAGCCCATCCCTACCCTCAAAATTAAGCTTTTTGTCATTTTATAATAGTTAAAACTATAAAAAATTTTAAAATAAAATATGATAACAGATGGCGCCACTAAATGCTGCCGTTAAAGTTAAGCAACTCGTTGCTGGATTTTTTGGATTGAACTGCGATTGAATTAATACTATATCAAATGGGGTGGACAAAATCGTGCCCCTCACGCACACACGTACACATAATATCAATACTAACATCAATAGATACTAGTGTTTCTCAAACGGGATTCCGGGATCCCGGGATCCCGGTTGTTTTTTTAACCCGGGAAATATCTCGGGAAATTTTTCTTATCCCTTTCTTAAAAATTTCTTAAAAATTCACTTTTTTTCTTATTTTGTGTTAAGGTTAAGAAATTTTGCAAATAGAAAGCATAATTATCTCATTCACTGTCAGAATACATTTGTATTTATTAATTTTAAACCTACCTATTAGTTTTTTTTTTTTTTTATTTTTGCTCGTTATGGCATGTCAGAATGGTCGATAATCAATACGTAGCTTATTTGTGGCAGGACTCTGAAAAATCTTTACTTGTCAGAACTTGTAATATATAGAATAATTATGCTTACGCTGTCTTAATTTTTAACCATGCCCAGTAGCTTCAATAAATGCGTAACGCCAGATTGTGCAAATTGGGCAAAGATACAAACGAGTATAAAGTCTGCAAGTATGAAGTTTTTCTTCATAAACCTGATTATTAAAG